CAATTGAGCCCATTGCTGAAGTGACTGTGTCAGTCCAGCTCATTGAGGGTCTTCTTCTCTTTTGCTGACCCTCCTCCACCTTTGCAAACATGATGTCCCCCTCCAGAGATTAGCCTCTTTAGCATCATGCCTGAAGTATGTGTGATGAAGCTCTGTCTTCTTTGTCTCCAAGAAGCATTCTTACGGCACTTTCTCTAAGACACAGCTGTTAGTTCTTTGCCATATTCAAAACTGTTCTCCAGCAGAAATTAATGAAAAGTGGTTCAGGAGCTCAAAGCATTTTCCCCATTTAAAAATATATCTCATAAGTGAGCTGAAAAAGCTAGAATAATCCAAGGGCAAGTTCAGGCCATTACATCGCAAGCTCTGGGTGAAGCCAACATCTCACCCATACTCTTTCCCGTATTTGAGAGTACCTAGCCTAGGCGCCTTTGACCCTACGCCTGAGGAGGCAAAAGAGACTCAAATGTAGCTAGTCCTCGACTAGAGCACCTGGTACAGGTGGCAACTGTCCAAAGGGGACACCTTTTTCTCTGTTTCACAGAGCAGTGAGACATAAGCCAGCAGAGTCATCTCTCAACAGTCATTTTCCAAGTATGGTTGTCCTATGAAGGACCAGTTAGTCATCAGCATTTTCCAGGGAGTCTGAAAGTTGATCTAAAATACATTCCTCTGTCTGTCCATCCATTCACCCACCTGTCCATCAGTCCATCTGGGATTTGTGAGATTGCTGGTATTATCTGGGAAGGCACTTTGCTTCAGATAGGATTTAACCGACATTGATTTCTCCTCACCCCTCCACCCTCCTCCTCTGGTTATCTCACTACCACAGCCTCCTTGAAAGCTACCATTGACAGTAGATGTTAAATGGGTACAATCTACCTGCCCTTGGGAACTGGCTCTTTTTAGCTGTAGGATGTGCACAAAAACTTCTGGTCCCCAACTACAAGTCACCAAGGACTTATTTCTGGAGAAAGAGAACAATTTGTTAGCTCTAGCCTCTCCTTTCTAACTCCTCTTTTGACACAATTGGGGGTAATGGAGGCAGGTGTGTTGGAGTGAGTGGGACTGGCTCAGGACAGGCCAGGGTCAGACCTATTGTACACAGAGTTGTTTGGAGTTGCAAGCGCCTCAATGGCACATAAGGACCACCACTATTAGAAGGGAGCTCTGGTGCAGTAGTTTGGTAGGTGTGAAGACTGCTAACCAAAAGGTCAATGGTTTGAGTCCACCAGCTGCTCTATGAGAGAAAGATGGGAAGTGTCCTTCTGTAAAAATTGACAGCCTTGGAAACTGATCACTGGAAGTCAATGGCATATGGCACAACTTCACAGTAGTCGGTTTGATAGCATTAAAAACACAAACATGTTGTTGTTGTTGTTATGTGCCATCGAGTCGCCTGCAACTCATAGCGACCCTATGTACAACAGCCCTAAACTCCGCTCTGTCCTGTGCCAATCGCACTGTCTCTGACACTCCCACCCCAATTATCCCAGTCACTGAATCAATCCACCTTATAGAGGGCCTTCCCTTCCTGCGCTGTCCCTCCACCCTCCCAAGCATGATGTCCCTCTCTAAGGACCAGTCTCTCCTCACAACATGTCCAAAGTATGTTAGACGGAGCCTCAGAATCCTTGCCTCCAAGGAGCCACCCGGTTTAACCCTCTCCCGGACAAATCTGTTTGTTTTCCTAGCAGTCCATGGTATTCTCAATACTCCTCTCCAGCACCATAGCTCAAAGGCATCAATTCTCCTTCTATCCTCCTTGGTCATTGTCCAACTCTCTGGTGCATAACAAGTGATTGCAAAAACCATGGCCTGTATCAGACACACCTTAGTCTCCAAAGAGACACCATTGCTCTTCAGCACTTTGGAGAAGTCCCTAACAGCAGACTTTTCCATAGCGATGCACCTTTTAATTTCCTGGCTGCTGGTGCCAAGACTGTTGACTATGGAGCCAAGCAAACTAAAGCTGTGTACAATCTCAATCTCTTACCCATCCATCCTGATGCTGCCAATTGGTCCAGTGGTGTGGGCTGATTTGGTTTTTTCTGTTTGGGTTTGGTTGATTTCCTTACTTGTTTGTTGTGGGTTTTTTTAATTATTATTTCTTTAGAGATGTTCATCAGGTAGATTGAAAGAATCTGTCATGAAGATATCTTTTGTCATAAAGTTTTTACTACATGTTGATAATTTTGGACCTGACAGATTGATAGTAAGGAAGGGACCTTTTGGCACAAATGACCCTTATCTTCTAAGGCGGAGCAGGATTCTGAGGTGATGGGTCGTTATCTCTGATTCTGGAGTTGTAATCTACACCTTATGGTTAACTATCCTGCGTAGACTATTTCCACTAGACCCTAACTTTATCAACACAACCACTTTCACAGTCTCAAAAAAAGCCTCCTATTTCCCCAACCCCAGCACTTTGGAGCCCTGGGTGGTGCATTTAATGTGGTACAGCAGCATTTTGGCTGAAGGAAAGCAAACCTTTGAGCTCAGAGTGTCTTGTGATGGAAGGAAAGTTTGCAGGTTGGTGACTGTTTTCTGTTTGACAAAATCGTGTGCTGCTACCTTTATGGTGGGTCAGGAGCTTCTCTCTGTGGATTTTATCACCTTCCTTTGAGCCGAAGCCTCATTAGAGGACACAGCCCTCACTGTGGCACCAAACCCAAATCAGAGGCAAACCCGAGGGTGCCTGTGGGGCAAGGGGGGACAGTTCTGAGGAACTTTGGGCTCTCCCGGCACACTTTGTTGTTTCCTGCTCCTTCTTGTGAGCCTGCAGGCACATCCACCGGCGGTTGCCAGGCAGCAGATACTCCCGGTGACCTGTATAATGAGTTGACACCAGTACACTGTGACTCGCAAGCTGGCCATTTCAAGGAGCCATTTTCAGCATCTCGCTCTCTCTTTTCTGTTTCTGTGCATAATTTCCAATATGGCCAAAAAAAGGGGGGGACAGTCTTTTCTCACCACAGTACTAACATTATTAAAAGCTGATAGAAAGCTGTCAGATAGTTTAGGGGACGAAGAAAAAGAGAACAGATAATACAAGAATACAGAAATGAAGGAGGGGACATTTGGGGGTTCACAGGTTCTTTGTACCCCAGGGGCTCTGGGTGTGGCCTGTCAGGCTGCGCATCCTTCTCCAAGCCCTTGTAGTATTGTGTAACCTGTCCTGGTCCAAGAGACACTGAAGTAGCCTGCACCTGAGCAGAAAGACATTCCCTACAACTGGGAAAGCCAATGAACAGGAGACAGGAAGGAGGGCAGCCAGCCCCTGAGATGCCCAAGGAAAATATTCTTATTTCTTGCACCTCCGAGAACACTTCACAGCCACCTCTCAGCTGTTTCCCAAGTCACAAAGGAGTTCCAGTGTTTGTTGAGACATAGGTGCTGGTGAACGCTATCTCAGAAATAGGTGTTTTAGCTTCAAGCCAGGCATTTCTTCAGCTGGCATTTTTGAGCACCTCATCTGTGCATGGAAACCCAGAGGAGAATGAGTTCCTCTGCTGGAGGAGCTCCGAGTCTCACGGGAGAGGCAGAACACATGCGTGAGCCCTAGCCCTGCCTGTGTCTCCACCAGAGTCACGCCCACAGGGTAGGACCAATGATGCGTGGAGGCACCTCCTGTTCAGAGTTCCCTTCCAGCAGCATCCCAGGGGGAATGAAGACACGTTTTTTTCCTGGCCACCACCACTTGATACAAGCAGCTAGGGAGACATTTTTCATAGGTTAAGCATACATCATTTTTCAGAAGTAAAGATCATGTCTGGTTTTGGCGAGCTCAGAAGCTCCTCACCCCTTTCTGAGCCAGATTCTCATCTGATGTAAATCTTTGGGAGAATCAAGTTGTAGTACTGCTTTGCTTCAAATGGGACTCTAGCCAGTCCTTCCCCAGAGTTACCCTGGGCTTAAATCTACTACATCATCTCCATGGCAACCAGAGGCCAGCCAGTGTAAACCATTGCCTTCTAAATCCTCTCCTAGCTTCTTCCAGGCCCAGTCTCTTCCGTGATTAAGAATGATCTCTCTCTTTGCTCTCAGGCACTTGCTCACTCTCGCTCTCACATACCCACTTGCATAATTTTGTGTCAATAGTTTTGTTGTTGTTGTTGTTGTTGTTGCAACATCCCTTCCAATCAGCTTTTTAAATTCTCCATGCAATTAAAAAAAAAGAAGGTGCATTAGTCATTGCTTGATGAATAGTAACTGACCTGTTTAGACAAGACCAGGCTGATGTCCCTGGGCACAGAGCCTTAGCAAGCCAATATGGAATTTACCTTCAAGTCTAGCCAGCCTCCCTAATTAATACATTGTTTAAGAATGCTGGCCAGCCACCCCAAATAGCGTATCTCCCCACATTTGGAGGTTCCACCTTGCTGAATCCCAGAGGTTATTTCAACATCATTTACCTGTATGGATGTGTGTGTATTATTAGGCTTCCGTGTATTGTAGAGTCATTGTGGTTTAACAGAAAGCAAAAGGCTTTGTAATTGTACAGTTGAATCTTTGGCACTTACTAGCTATATATATAGTTAAAAAAAAAAACAACAAACACACAACCAACCAACTGAAATTCACTGGGTTTCTGAGGCTGTAAATCACAATGGAGGGAGATTGCCCACCTTTCTCTTTAGAAGCTGCTAGTGGATTCGAACCACTAGAAAGGTGACACTTTAAGGTTAACAGTGCGACTCCTATGGACAACAACACCAAAGCTACTGTACTAGCTGCATGGCCTTTGCCAATTTAACTTCTCTGGGCCTCTCTGGCCTCATCTGTAAAATGGGTCTACAGTACCTACCTCGTGAGGTTGTGACTACAAAATTGCATTGTTTAAAAGCTCTTGGCACATACTAGAGACCCAGTGCCCCTTGAGTTCCCTCCCCCAGTTGGCTCTGAAGCATGTATGTGTTTCTTCTTTCTTTTTAATTAATTTTTTTTAATTAGTCTGCATGCTGTCAGCCTAGCAACACTCTTCTGTGTCTCTCCACCAGGAGGCACGCTCCTTCCAGGGACCGAGCCCACAGTGGACACGGTGCCCGTGCAGCCCATCCCAGCCTACTGGTATTACGTAATAGCCGCCGGGGGCGCCGTGCTGGTGCTGGTCTCCGTCGCGCTGGCCCTGGTGCTCCACTACCACCGGTTCCGCTATGCGGCCAAGAAGACTGATCACTCCATCACCTACAAAACCTCCCACTACACCAACGGCGCCCCTCTGGCGGTGGAGCCCACCCTAACAATTAAGCTAGAGCAAGACCGCGGCTCCCACTGCTGAGGGCCGAAGCAAGGACAGCACCCCAAAACAAACGAGAAAAACTGCAAACATGTGGCCTCAATTTTGCACTTTTTTCTTCTCGCCTAGTCTCTGTGTGAACTCGCAGACATCGCTCTCCCAGGTCCCCAAGCCCTGTGTACTCTAATCCATCCCAACCATTGCTCCTTGGGTTCTTGATTTTTTATTATTTTTTTTCTTCTTCTTCTTCATTTGTTGATTCCAAACCAACACCACTCAACTCTAATGCTGCATCTTGGATTATTATGAGAAGAGATCCCACCACCCTTAAGCACTTCACAACTCAAGGCTCAGCTGGTTTTGTTCCAGAGACTGGTTCCTTGTTTCTCCCCTTGCCTTATCCCATCCCTCTGCTCGGTGGGCAGCCTGCCAGGAGACTTGATGGGGACCCTGGATCTGTGTGTCTGTACATAGTATATACATTCGCGTGTGTGGGTAGCTGTATGTATGTGTGGGCGTGTGTGAGAGAGTGCTTGGTTCATGGTGCGTGTGGGGGCGTGTGAGTATGTTCAGTGAGGGCCCCCTTTAATTTTGCGTTACTTCTCCTGGGGTACATTTTACAAGAAAATAATATACTGTACTAGTTTTGTTTACTTGGAGAAGAGATTGAAGCTTTTTGTTGCCTTATCTAGCTATGGCTGGGTTTCTGTTGGCTGTCATTATCATCTCCAGGTACCTAAAGAAATAGAGGTCACATGGAATAAAATGTGACTCTTCCTGTCCCTGCCCCAAGCCACCTGACCCAAAAAAAAGGTTCCACCAATGGACTAGACGTGATGACTCCCCATGTCATGTCTCCTGTTATCTTTGAAATAGCGAGTTACAGCCATTGGGCACAAACGGAACCATCTCTCCTTCCAGCCCTAAAGCGAATCTGTCTCATGTTGCCTTATAAAAGAGAATCTCATAATGAATGTTTAGCTGTTATTGAGTCAATCCAATCTTGGAGTAAGTCATAGAGAATAACAAATCTGAGTGTGTTGTACAATAAAAGCAGTAGTTTGTATAAGTCCGGAGCAGGAGGAGAAGGGAAAACTGGATGGCTTTGAAAAGTGTCCTCACCCCGGGGGCTCATTGGGCCCAACTTGGGGTGGTGTTGGGTGAGAAGGTGAAACACCCTAATCTTTGGTATGCCATTAATCATCATAATCGTATTTGTAAAATATGGGAAGACAAGGATTGTTTGCTTTCCTTTCACGGGCTAATGTGTGCCTGAATCTATAGCCACTCAAATATAAAGCTGTCCACCTGACTTATTTAAATATTACAAGAAAAGAGGAAGTGATAATTTAAAAAAAATAATAAAAGTACTAGTGTGCCATCCTACCCCTCAAAGCACCAGTGGCATCTGGCAGATAGACCCTCGCTCATGAGGCTGACCTTGATGTTCCTACATCATAAAAGAGGTTGTTTAATGAAGATAAGCCTGATGCTGTCCATTTGTCCTCTAAGTATTGTGGGGAGAGCTATGTTAGAGAAAATGTCTAAAGATGATAAGCAAAGAAAGGATGGATTAAATACTGAAGTCCATTCCATTGACAAGAAAAATGTGTGTTTTTAGCAAGCTTCTCACTGTGGTGAAGCTCAGCCTTGGGAGTGTTTCTTTCTCCCCTTCCCACCAGGAACCCAGTGGGGAAGGACAGGCATCTCCCCCAAAGCTGGTTGCTTGGCCTGAAAGCCGCAAGGTACCCTTGGAGAACAGAATTCTAAAATGAATTTTTTGTTTTGCTTTGTTTCTTTGGAGAGAGAGGCTTTTAGCATTCCTTCAGCATATCTAGATAGATCCCTGCAGCCGACACTCACTTTCACATCTGGTTCGTTTCATCTTCCTGAGAGAACGTTGCTCTCCCACTCTTATTCTGTTTCAAAGAGCTACTCGGGCTCCACCACCGCAACCCTGCCAAGAAAAGGAAAGATGAAAGGCTAGCAAGCAAGGAGCTACCTTGAAATCTCAAGAAGTCGTCTACCCAGCAGGTGATGGAAGAGGGGGAGGGGACAGCCCGGGAGTCTGTGTAGAGCCTTCCCCCGCCAGGTCACCAAGGGCTTCGTCCTCTCAGGTGTGCTAACATCCACGGCCAGCTATGTGTTTGGGGCCAGACATTCCCTCGAAATGATTGGCATCCCTGTAGATGTCCCTGGAGGCCAGAAATAACACCTGGAAAACCAGCCAGTACAGCCACTGGCTGAGTTATCACATACCCTTGAGTATTTCCCTTCTTTAAAAGAAGATGACAACAATTTCTGTGAACTTGCTGCATCTTTATCTGATGCCCCATGCGGGGAAACACATCATCCTTATGTACATGGCAGAGTTGAAAGTATGGGACTGCTCAAATCTTTGTGAATCCCAAGCTATGCTTAAGCTAAGAATCCTCTCTCTCCCCACCCTTCTCTCTCTTTCTCCACTCTTATCCCTCCCTCCATCTTTCTCCTTCTTCCTTCCCTCCTCTTGCTCCTTCCTCTCCCTCTCCCCTTCTCTTTCCATCCAACTCTCCCAGCCCTAACACCTTTCAGAGTATTTGTCCGGGCACTATGCTAACCAGGCAGTCCTGTAGAAATGTCATGCCTTGCAGCTTTAAACAGCAAAATTCCTTATTTCCAGAGAGAGGGAAGGGGTCACTCTTCTTTTAGGAAAAGAAACCTGGACAGGTGAATGCATGCATGCATGTGTTAAGAGTTGCTTCTCGGAAGACAAAGATGTGATCTAACCATTAGATTATAAACGAATGGAGGCATCCAGGGCCTGACTCAGCTGACTAGGAGGTGATAAAGCGTCTTGTCCCAGTAGAGATTCCACTGTCAACACCTCCAGAAGGAATCCTCTTGTCTCTGAGGTGACAGCCTCTTCCTTGATCACTAGCAATTGTTATCACCTAATTAGTGGCTGAGGCAGGAAAGGGGGGAATTCATAGCATTCCCATTGCCAAACCATATTGCTGAAATTAAGTAAAACTGTCCCCTTTCCCTGGTCCTGTAAATTGGGGATTAAAGCCAGAACTGGATAGGAAATCCAGTAACACCCGTCTGTACAAGGACTCTGTCTCGAACATGAATCTAGCAGGCAAGCAAACACCTAACTAATCCAAAGTTACCAAAGAACAACAGCAAAACGAGAACACGTCAAGATTTTTACTTCCTGTTCTTGCCCCCTCTCCCTGTAACTGTGACACCCTTTGCATCGCTCAGTTGCCTGTGTGTCAAAATAACTTGTGGACGTTGGAAACTATTTGAAAATGTATTGTGTGGAATGTAATAAAAGGATGATATTTTTATACAAACATCTGGGTTTTTCTTCCCACCCCGCCCCCACCCTGGCCTATGAGAAAGAAGTAGGCTTTGAGCAAATTGATGTTTCCAGAGTTTCACACACCACCCTCTGAGCTCCGGGGCATTTCTGTGGGAGGTAGGTGGGTTTTCTCCTTGAGGCTGAATGCCAGCTTTTCCTGCTTTTATTTTATTTTATTATTGCTACTTGTTAGGAGTTTTATTTAATTTGTGCAGCTGAGCCAACTTTGATGATTGGTGTGGGATTTTGCAAAAGTTGCTAAGTGCTAAATTGCTAAATGCGATTCCACAAAATTTCTCTTGATGGCAAATCTCTGGAGGTAGGACTCTGCTTTCAGAGGCCCCAGGGGGAGTGGGACGGGCAGAGCTGAATCATGTAGTCAGCTCTGACAAGGGGCACGGCTTCCTTTAGGGGATGGAATGGAGACTTTGCTCCCCTCACCTACTGAATTCTTACTTCCATGGGGATGTTGGTATTCAGTTTATGAGCACTTTCCCAGACAAAATGGGAGTGTATGGCGTGTTCAGGGCTCACAGTTTCTAGACTCCATTCCTTAGAGAGTAATGAAGAGACTCATGATTTTCATGATTCTGAAATGATCAGGGTGGAGCATTTTATTAAAAAGAGCATGCTATAAAAACTCTGGAGAGAGAAGCTTGGGGAACCTTGCTAGAAAACAAAACAAAACCCAAAGCTCATTTGACAAGCTTTTATTTTGTGTCCTCTTTTATATAAGATAGTTAATGATCTAGATATATACACACATTTTTACCAAAAGGGAATCAGGAGGGAGAAATGTAGCAATTCTTAGCTTTGAGGCAATGATTGATAAGAAGTCATGGAAAGATTTTTTCCAAATCTCCTCACCCGTGAGGAAGAACTGGGGACATTTCATCCGCCCAGGAGCCTTCCTCTACGTTCAGGAAGACCCTGAAGGAAGAACTTGCTCAAAAGACCCTGTTTGGACCAGAATCCTGCCTTGTTTTTTCAAACCCACACTAGATCCCAGGAAGTGAGCACTCTTAAAATCTGCCTAAGTGATGCTAAAAAGAGAAGAATTTCAGGTTCGGAAAGTCCCATCAGTACAGCTGGCCCAGTGTAGATGTCCCTGGCTGCCGTCCTCACTGACTAGAATGTCCATGACAACGTTGCTGTAGATTGTGCGAAAGACCAGCATGTTACCCATTTTGTCTAAATAACATTCAATTTCCCTTGTTGCCATTTGTTCCCATTATTAGAGGAAGAAATGAAGCCAAGGCCCAGGCTCAGTCAACATCTTCCCTGAGTGGATCTGGGACCACACCTGCCAACCTCTAGGTATTCCCAGGAGCTCTCTGGCATAGTCTGTAGGGATTTGTTTTGCTAACCCAAAGGCCACTTCTCTGGTGGCTGGAACTAGCAGCTCCGTGGGGAAAAGATGGGCTGTCTCCTCTCTGGTTGTTTACAGCCTCAGAAACCCAATGAAGGGTCAACTATGAATCTAATCTGACTCTATAAAGCAGAGTTGGTTTTTTTTGGTTTTTTTTTTTTATAGTCCCTAGTGAAGCAGTTAACACAATAGGCTGCTAACTAAAAATTTCAGCTTTGATTCCACCTGGAGACAACTCGGGGAAAATGGTCAGGTGTTACACTTCCCAAAAATTAGCTGTTGAAAGCCCTCTAGGGTACATTTCCACTCTGACACACAGGGAGTTAGCGGAAGACAGAATCCACTTCATAGCTAATACTGGTATGTTTTGTCATTACGACTTTATAGGAGCCATATTTGAAGAGTTGAAACTTTCCTTTGCTCATCTTGGTTTTAGTGCTATGGCTTATTTTGAGGATCTGCTTAAGGGAACTCTGGTGGCCTAGTGGTAAGGATTTGGGCTGCAAACCTAAAGGTACTCAGTTCAAATCCACCAGCTGTTCTACAGGAGAAAGGCAATATCCTCCCGTGCAATTTACCACCTCTGAAAACCAGCAGAAGAGTCAGCTATGGCTTGGTTCTGACTTCATTGTACATAACAACTTAAGTCCTTCAGGAGGCCAATAACTATTGGGACTCTGATGTTAAGCAATGTATTTAGTAACACTGTTACCTGTAATATTTCTTCAGTAGAGAATTTCCAGTACAGTCCAGCCTGTTTATTACAGAAATTGTGTTTTCCAAGGATCAGATACCAAGCCTCAAGGCCCAGAGTGATGCCTCTCTTCTCCTCTGTGATGGTTGAATTGCAGACTTACTTCAGCCACAAGTCCCCTAGCCTGAATAACAGAAGCCAGCCAGCCTGGCCTGGCCCCACATTTGTTTTCTTCACCCCTCTGAAGGCACTCAGCAGTTGTTTTGCATAAACACTGTGGCC